AGTGCACAGTGTCTCCCTATATCCCTAGAGCTCTAAAACACAGAATGGAGCATGAATGATATTTACAGCATATTAGTACACAGTGTCTCCCTATATCCCTAGAGCTCTAAAACACAGAACGAAGTATGAATGATATTTATAGTGTATTAGTGCAGAGCGTCTCCCTATATCCATAGATATAGGGAGACGCACAGCTCACAGTGCAAAACCACCCTATACTAACAGAGCACTAAAACAGCTCACAGTTCAATATAACCTTATACTAACAGAGCACTATAACCCAGCTCAGGGTGCGCAGACTCTCTATACTCACACAACACCATAACAAAGGTCAGAGTGCTCTGACTGAATCACAGCATCGGAGTCACAGCTTCACTCTCTACTTCACCGATACACACAGCTTGGCTCACTCTGAGCCGCACCCTGAATGCTTTCACCCAAACAGGAAAAACACACTGTTACACCATCAAAACCACATAGCTTGTACCACATCACATTCAGGCATTTTTAGTAAAGCTAAATTTGCCTCCCTTTTTAAAAATGCAGAAATCAACTCTCAGCGCTCTCTAACTTAATATCAAAACCTGAGGTTGATGACCATATGAAATCTGAGCCTGATTTATAGCTAAGGGTAAATATTATTTGCTATAGCACACTTTATTCTTCAGTGACACCTTACTCTCTTCCAGCAATACCTCATTTTCATGTTACTTTAAATGTTCTAGCAAATTGAAGACAGTTCCTTGACTTATCGTTGCAAAAACTGTGTCTATCGGCCTCACAGCGCTCATCTGGAAGTAAAAAGGTGTCCACGTCTCCCTCGGTTGGTGTCAGCAGCGCCCTGTGCCGACAGGAAGTGGCTGGCGCTCTGTGGACAGGATACAGTCGTTGCCAGGAAACAGCACCTTCCCCTTGATGAGCTCTCCCATGATGCAGCCCACTGACCAGATATCCACTGCAACACAAAAGGCACAACACCTCACACACAGGACGTCATGCGTCTGGCCAACACGCTACGTCATGCTGTAACTCGGAGGATTTAGGGATGGTTACAAACAAGGGGCCATTCAGCTTGTCTGTTGGCTTGGTTGGGTTTTAATAGCTAATTGATCGAAGGATCTCACTCAGCTGCTTGTTGAAAAAGCCATGATATTGGCTTCAACAACGTGGCCGGGGTATTGGTTCCAGTCTCCCACAACCCTCTGGGTAAAATATGCCTCCTGTCCTCAGTTGTGATGTACTCCCACATGGTTGCCAGTAGTGCCCTCTGGTTCGTATTTCACAGTTAATTCTGGATAAATCCACTGGGATCTGGGATGACTTTGTCGGCACCTTTGAGGATCTTGACTACTTGGATCAGGTCCCCTCATCGGCGTATTAACAAACTAAAAGTTTTCTCACTGCCAAATATTTCATAACAGCAGGCTGGATTCTGGAGTTTTCAAACCCATTAATGTAGAATATTGTGACGTGGCTGTTTATGCTGACATGGACTCTATCCAGCTGCAACGGCAGTGGTCTGGCCTCTGCCACAAAGCTCTGAAGCTCAGAATGAAGCTCTGAAGCTCCGAATGCAGCACTGGCATTGTTCCCTTTTTCACTGCCTCTTATTGAAACAAGACTCCACTACACACTGAAAATGCAACAAAAACATTGTAGAGGTCTTTAACAAAGGCACTAATTAGCTGAAGGGGGGAGGCTGCCCTCTTGTGGCCACACTGAGAACTGCAGGCGGTGTAGCCACCCGTGTATGTTCCCTGTCCAGCAGTAGCGAGCCCCCGTCAAGAGTCGCCCCTCTTACCCGTCTGGTTGTAGTGCATCCAGTTTAGCATGATCTCTGGCGCCCTGTACCAGCGAGTCGCCACGTACCCGGTCATTTCATCGTCTGTCTGCCTGGCCAGGCCAAAGTCCAGGATCTGAGGGATACAAGGGTAACTGTGAAAACAAGACGCACAATGACACTGCTGGAGAAACAGGAACAGTGGTGTGGAAAACGAGAGGCCCAGTGGTAAGTCCATCTTCCCCGCATGGCTCAGTCACCCTGTTCATCTCCTCCTGTCTGCCCCTGCACCCTAATTCACCTTCCTTCCCACTTCCTGCCTTCCCTTCACAGTCAAAGAGGTTTATTGGTGTTGCTGATCAAGTACAGTGTTGCCAAAGCCATGATAATTAGCAGAACATTTACATTTCAGGAAGCTGACAATAGTTTTGAGAATCCCCCTCTCTGTTCCCCAGGCTGGGACACAAGATCACATACTGGGCTGCAGTTCAATCGAGTTTCCTTCCCCAGCAGGACTGGAAGTTGTTCTGATTCTGGCTGGATTGGAAATTTGGGGATTGGATTTGTTATTT